TGTGTCCTGGATATGGGAAATTAAAAATAATCTGCATTCATTCGAATAGTTCAGAGTGTATATATGTGTAAGTGTATATGTGTACATGTTCATATATATGTATGTAAATGTATTTATTTTGCCATTCTGTTCGATACTAATATCCTTATACCAACATTCTTTGGCATAGTGTTTGCCTGACAAATCTTTCCTGTCCATACACTGACCTCATTTCTGTGTTGCATCCTTGGTATATCCTTTACAGATTATAGATAGTAGGTTTAAAAAGCACCCAATCTTATAATCTTTTCCAATAGCTAGTTTATTCTCTTAATATTAGTTGTGATTACTAATCTGTTTTTATTTTTCTGCCAACTTATTTTGTAATTTCTCTTCTTTAATACTTCTTTTTTTCTCCCTCCCTACTTTTCTTTGGATTTATCAACTTTCTTTAGTTCCGATTCTCTCCTCTATTGGGAATTAAGTGAATCATGTTATCTATCTATTTTTTTTAATTTAATTTTATTTTTTCAGTGTTCTAAGAGTCACTGTTTATGCACCACACCCAGTGCTCCATGCAATATGTGCTGAATCATGTTATCTTTATTCTTTTAATGGTTGCCTCCAGTTTGAACATGTGCACTTGGTTTTACAGTGTGTGGACGTAGCCAGAATTTCTAATTTCTGTCAAACAATGCAAGAAACTTACTACTTTTATCTGTAATCACCCCCCATCTTACATGTTATTATTCTCAAGTATGTCAATTCTGCCTTTTTTCCTAATATTTTTTGCAGTTATCTATTCATATCATTATTTTATACACTTAATATTTGTTTTGATTTGCTCACATTTGCTAATTTCTTTCTCACCATTACTTCCTGTATCTCCTTTTACTTTTGAGTTTAATTTTTGTTCTTCCTAAAGATCCCTTGATTCTTCTTTCAGAGCATGGTCTACTTAGTGTTAGTATTGTACAACCTCACATAACATGTAATACCCTTGAAATTGTATGTATCTGTTTACCGCCCTCCCCTGTCCCTTACGCCATGGTTATTGTATGTATCATATCTACATACATTATACACACAGCTTATAATGTTTGCTTTAAACATTCTTATACATCTTACGCTAATAAGAAGAAAAACCAGTATTTTACCTGGATATATACTATTTCCAATGCTCCTCATGTTTTTCTGAAAATCCAAGTTTCCAGTCTATAATAGTTCTTTTTAGTCTGATTCTTTAACAATTCTCAATTTTGGCAACGAGTTCTCATAGTTTTCCTTATTTAAAATGTTACATTGATATGGGATTCTAGATTGATAAGTAGTTTTTTTTCCTTTTGCTATAGTATTGCTCTTCTGACTTCCTTGGTTTCTAATAAGAAAAGTTTAATCATTCCAAAAGTTATTCCCCTGTATGTACTTGTTTTCTTTCCTGACTGCTTTCAAGATTTTCTTTTGGGGGGGGTGCCTGGTTTTCTCAGTCACTAAAGCATGCCACTCTTGCTCTTGAGGTCGTGAGTTTGAGCCCCATGTTTTGTGTAGGCGTACTTAAGAAGAAAAAAGATTTTCTTTTTATCTTTGATTTTCAACAGTTGAATTATTATGTACCTAGGTGTGATTCATATGTATTTATCTTGCATGAGGTTTGTTTAGCATCTTGAATCTTTGTTTTTTTTATCATATTTGGGAGCTTTTTGGCATTATATCTTCAAGCATTTTTTTCCTACCCTACTTTTTATATCATCTCCTTCTGCAGCTCTAGTTACTTGCATGTTAATACCTCTGATTATGGACTTACATATCCCCAATTTCTGTTCACTTTTAAAATTTTTAGAAATTATTTTCTCTCTTTTGTTCTACTGATTTATCTTCAAGTTCACACACTCTTCCCCTTTGTCATTGTTATTCTTTTTTTTAAGATTTTATTTATTTGAGAGAGACAGAGGGAGAGAGCATAAGCAGTGGGGAGAGGCAGAGGTAGAAGCAGACTCCCCTCTGAGTGGGGAGCCTGACATAGGACTCGATCCCAGGACCTGGAGACAATGACCTGAGCTGAAGGCAAACACTTAACCATCTGAGACACCCAGGCGCCCCTGTCATCTTTATTCTTCTATTAAACTGCTCCAGTGAATTTTTAACTTCAGACATTTTAGTTTTCAATTTCTGCTTGTTTTCTTTATTGTAGTTTCTATTTCTCTGCTGATACTGCCTATTTTTTCCCATTTGTTATAAGTTTAAATGTTCTTGACTTCATTCTGCATAGTTAAAATAGCTGCTTTAAAATCATTGCCTAATAATTCCAACATTTGGATAATATTGGTTTTGATCTCAATGATCTTTTTTGGGGGGACTGAATCACATTTTCCTGTTGTTTTTTTTAATCAGATATTTTGAATTAAACCTTGGGTACTGTGAATGTTATGTCCTGACTTCTGATATTTATGTATATATTCCCCCGAAGACTGTTGATATCTTTGTTTTAGCACATAATAAACTTGTTTGGATTCCAACCATAAATGTTTCTTGGTTGACAGCCCAAATCTCATTGGGCTGCTTGCAGTCTCTTCCATGTATGTGTGTTTTAGGGGTTATGTTGAGGTTTGTTCTGAGTTTATATACAGACTTTTCACTCCTTCTCTTTGGTTCTTTTCTTTTTAGGAACCCCACACAATTACATTCAGTATGTGTGATTGCTCTGTCTTTTTACTACTCAGACCATAAAGGCCAATGATTTCTAGTTGAGGTTTGGCTGCCTTGTGAGGTCATTCAACTCAGCTGCCCAAGCAGGCATCTCACCCTGCATCATTTCCTTCCTCCGAATTTTGAATCCCCTCCAGGATCTCCTGCTTCTGTTTATTCTCCAGAATAATGATTGTGTTTTGCTCATATTTTATCTAGAGTTTATAATGATCTGTGGGAGTCTCACTTCCAGTGGAGTTTGTTTGACCACACAGGATTTCTCTGCCTCCGTTCCTCAGAACATGCAGTCCACACATGACTGGGTCTTCTAAAGGCAAAGTCATCTCTGCCTGTTCCTGGAAATTAAGGAATTCCTTAAGATTTCACTTGTTTTCAAATATTTTTAAAAATAATTTCTAAACATAGTACCCTTCATGAGTTGACCACATGGTATAAAAAAATAGTCATAACTATTCAAACCTGGGCCTTCCATTTCTAGTCCTATGATATTGGATTAGATAATCACTTAACCGCTGGAAGTCTTCTTACCCTCATCTGCAAAATAAAAGGTTTGCTGTAGTTTCAGGATACTAAAATGAGATTCTTTCCAGGATGCCAGTACACCAGGTCTCAAATTCCAAAGTGAGTTTGAGTTAGATTCCATTTGCAGGATTTGCAAAAGGAATGTTGCGTTAGATCAATGACTCTTGGCTTTTGAAATAGATCAAGGATAATCAAAATAAAGGAGTCAGGAGGTGAAGAGGAAAAATTACTGAGGTGATCAAGAAAGCATTAGTGCTCTGCTCTTTATATAAGAGTTACCAGAAGCAATCCTTCTCAACTCAAAGTTAGTAAAGCAGGCTTTATGGAAACTGAAGTATGTTTGCTGCTTTTGGAAAACATAGAGGCCTGGTGCTGACCTGTACTTAAAGAAACTAAGAAGATGAAGTGGCTAAGTTGGGATCATTCTATATTTCCAGGGTTGTTGGGGTGAGGAATGTATGATTGTTTCCCAGTAACAACATGTGGCCTATGAAAGAGGAAGAGAGAGAGAGAGAAAGTGCCTCATCATGGGGTCATTCTGGGCATTGTCCAATAGAATGATCTAAAAGGACAGAGGACCCCAACAGTAGGAAGAAGGAAAAAAAAGAGTTCTATATTCATAGGGCCTGAGGAAGGAGTAGCAGTGATCACCCAGTCTTATTTTGAATGTGCTTAACTCATGGTAATAATATTCTAAATTCTACTTTGAGGCTGTGTTTGGAGTGACAGTGGGATTTATATTCCCAAGAATGAGCAGAAAAGTCATGGAATTGACTAAAGTTCCCATTCAGGGCAGGGGAAGATTGCCTAGTGAATACATTTTAAATAGATGGTAGAAGACAAAAATACATTGTTATGTTTTGGTGATCAGAAATGATTTTTAGTCAACATGCTGGTTATATATTAAAGTGCTTGGCTAGTAAATTCACAACAAATGTTCATTTTTGCCTATCTATTCTGATATAATATCCACATCTTAGACTATACCTTTTGAGGTATGATAGAGTGTTGTTGTTAGCCCAGATATTTTATTCTACATGGGAAGAAACCACCAGGAACCTTCTTTCCCTTACTCCATTAGCATAAGTTAATTTAGCAGATTAACTGGGATTCTCCATTGTACATCATATTTCAGAGGTGTTCTTAAAAGGCAGGGCAGGTCCCGGACTACATTCAGGTCATAGGCCCATGTTGGGGAGGAAAAAATTTTTCTTTACCTTTGCACATTCTTCTAGCTGGTCTAAGAATCAAATTGACAAGAGATTAATAGGAGAAAAAAACTTAGTAACATGTATACCTCCTGAATACACGTGAGAGACCGAGGAAAACTGTGTAACTCCCTGAAATGGCCTTAATTACTACTTTCAACTAAAGACAAAAGAAGATGTTGGGGGAGGATGGGAGCAGTTATGGGAGGTTCTGAGGAAAAGCACAATAAGCAAGGTTTATTGTTTATGCATATGGTTATGTAGACTTAAATCAGCATAGGAGCTTCTAGAGATTTTAAGTCATCCCCCTCTTGCAGGTATAGGTAGGGAGGCACCTTTACAAGTGGAGATTTCCCTTCTAAATGTAAATGTCTCTTATGAGAGGGTAACTTCTACTCAGTTTTGGAGCTTCACTTGTGTTTGCAGTTTCTTAAAAATACTCAGTCTAAAATAATCAATATGCCAAAGAGACATGTCTTAGGGTGGCAAAATTTGCTTCTCTAAACCCAGAACCAGGCAATGTACTAGAACCTTCACACAGATTGCCCTTACTCTCTTCAATAATGTACGTTTTTCCAATTTCAGATTATTAGATCCCTTCAAGTGGATTTTGGGTTCCTCAAAGAATTGCTTCAGTTGAAATTTGAGGACCGTCTTAAAGAAGAGTCTTTTAATCTCTTCACTGCTCTACATGACAGGATCCTAACAATTGAAAAACATTATCAAGAGGTACACGTTCTTTCATTTCCTTTGTTCTATATGTGGATTGATCTTGTGCTTAGATCAGTATGTACTACAGTTTTGAACTTAGCAACTCATGAGGGCAATCTAATTTGCATATGTTGTGTCTCATATAAGAGCTAATCCATCTAGTAGCTTTACTTTGTGTCAGGAACTTTATAAGTACTCTGTATATAATTTCATCTAATCCTCACACTAACCCCATGAAGTAGGTGCGATTATTATCCCTCTCTCACAGATGAGGAAATTGAGGCCCAGGAAGTTTAATTAACTTGCTTAAGGCCACCAGCGAAACAACAGAGTTTATTTTCCTGGCCAGACAGTTTGATGCTTAAGATCTGGCTCTTAAGCACAATTTTATAGGATATTATTTGTGTTTATTATCTCTGTACGAGCCCAAGGCTTGAAAACTGTGCTGCTTCAAGAAATTTCCTAAAGTCTTTGGTCAGGTTAGCATATTTGTCTGGCATTAAGAACAACTACTGCTCTTCCTCAGTTATAAAACAAAACAAACCCCCCCTCTTCTATGGACCCTCCCATTCTGGAAACCACACTAAGCCTTTTAAATGTGTTTCCTCCATAAGTCCCTCAACAATGCTTAAATGAAATCCAGTTATCCCTGATCTACAGATAAGGAAACTGACATGCCAAGGTTAAGTAACCTGCTTCAGGTCAGGCAGATTGAAAGTGGCACAATGATATTGAAATCCAATTCTGTCTGGCTCTAAAACCTAATCATTGTTTGCAGTCCATGCTGGAATCAGAACTGAAATCAGAATCAAGGTTTGTGGGGTTTTTTTGATGTACTGTCTTTCATTTTTATCCAAAACAATGGTCAACTGATAAGATTAATCAGAAAATGACTCTGGTTTATGGCTAGGGGGCTCTAGATTTTTTTTTTTCCCTTAAGATTTTATTTATTTTTCTGACAGAGAGAGAGATCACAGGTAGGCAGAGAGGCAGGCAGAGAGAGAGGAGGAAGCAGACTCCCCGCCAAGCAGAGAACTCCATGCTGGGCTCGATCCCAGGACCTTGAGATCGTGACCTGAGCAGAAGGCAGAGGCTTAACCCACTGAGCCACCCAGGCACCCCTAGATTTCTTTTTATGAGCATATCCCATTCAAAAGGTACAAGGACCAGGAGAGGATATGAATTACAAATAGGTTTTACTATTTTTAAAAGCCCCTTTAGAAAGATAGTAGAAAGGCTTAAATATATAAAGTGAAATAAAATGCTCAAATTATCTGTATTTATTTTATCCATTTGAGCTCTCTGTTGCCTATAGTTAAGTATAAGTAAAAATCGAACGCAGCATGGGGCACCTGGCTGGCTCAGTCGGTTGGGTGGCTGGCTCTTGATTTCAGCTCAGGTCATGATCTCAGGGTCACAAGATTGAGTCCTGCATTGGGCTCTGTGGTCAGTGTAGAGTCTGCTTGAGAGTCTCTCTCTCCTTCTTCCCCTCCCCCTGCTCACACATGTGCACTCTCTCATGTGTGCTCTTTCTCTCAAAAATAAATTAACAAATCTTTTTTTTAAAGGTTTTATTTCTTTATTAGACACAGAGAGAGAGAGAGAGATCACAAATAGGCAGAGAGGCAGGCAGAGAGAGAGGGGAAAGCAGGCTTCCCACTGAGCAGAGAGCCCGATGCGGGGCTTGATCCCAGGACCCTGAGATCATGACCTGAGCCAAAAGCAGAGGCTTAACCCACTGAGCCACCCAGGCGCCCCAACAAATCTTTTTAAAAAAAGATTGAATGCAGTGTAATAGCTGTAGTGCAGGAGAAATGATTACAAATTGGATTTTTCACAAGATTTGTGATGATCTGAATCTTGGTTTTATACGGGGTCCCTCAGTAGGGTGTGAAAATCATATCTGGAAATACAGTATGGTGCTCACTGTACTTATTTTTGGTTTGCAGAATGAGGACATCATAAGAAAATGCTACAATCAGCAGTTGGCTGATGCCATAGCTGTTATCAAAGGAATGTACAAGGTGGGTTTTTGGTGCTGTCATGGGTAAGGCCAGCTTCCCACCCTGTGAATGCAGAGTGGGGCTCACTGGAGGTTCCCAGTCTGTGTTTTTGGTTTTGAAGATCTGTCTGCCCAGTTTTCAGGTCACTGAAAAGGGATCAGGCCTAAAACTGTTCACACTCACATTAAATTGACCAAAATAACACTTTATTGTGACAGGTATCAATTTGCAGAGACTGGAAAATTCCAGTCTGGTGTCTGGGTAAGTGAGGAAGTAATCCAAAGTCTGTTTGGTGAGCATGCGGTTGGATAGAAGATCAGATAGTCCCCATGAGTTCATTGTGATTGTTGTAACTCCCCATGAAAGGTCTCTTACCTTTGGTGGTGTATCTTTTCTACTGATGAGGACACGTCTATCTGCCAGACATGGCACTTCACTCTCCCAAACAATGGGAACATGCATAGTTTTCAATGATTTCCTTTTAGGGTTTGTAGAACCAAGTGCTTCCTTTGATAACTGTAATCTTGCCTTTCACTTTGTTAAACCTCTGGGCAGAAATACTTTTTATTATGGCAAAGTGTTCATTGGTTGCATACTTCTTTTCAGAGCATTTATCCCATTTGTATTTAGTTATGTAATTGCCAGTTACATGTTCTGTTCCATGCCAGGCTGTAAGCCTTATGAGGGCAGGGATGTTGTCCGTCTGATTCACAGCTCTGCCTGCCTCTTTGCACTGGGTCTGATGCATAATTAGCAATTGTGGGAGTGGGAGAGGGAGAAGTAGGGAGCTCTATGTGGGGCTATATCCCGGGACCCTCAGATGAGGACCTGAGCCGAAGGCAGACACTGAACCAACTGAGCCACCCAGCCGCCCCCCCCGCTTCCTTTCCAGATACGGCGCGAACATAGACAAAGTCAGGTGCCTGACCAGTGTGACCTGAAACTAAGTTGGCTCTGAGGTTTGCGGAGGAGGTTATTCTTTGTCATTTAACAAGCCTTTCGGGAAGAAATATCCTCCTTCTTTCTTGGTTTGACATTGTTGTCTCCTGATGCTTGGAATTGCGGCAGCCAATCTGCAGCCAAGGACTGAGGCACTTCGGATGTGCTAAAGGCGGCAGAGCGGAAAGATAGAAAGCACCGGGGTCCTTGAGGAACATCACTGAGCAACTCAATAACTCTGGCCCAGTCCTGCCTCTGGCCCTTGCATTTCATGAGATAATACCCTTCTTCATGTTTAAGCCACTGGTTCAGTGATTTCCAGCTGAAAATATTCCAGAACCTACTGCTGTGACAACAATCTCTGTGACTCCGTGCCAGATGTGTTCCCACAAGGGCGGTGACCCTGTCTTTCTCCCCTGCCACATTACCTCGCTCCTCTCCCACACCAAGGCGGAGCCTAATTCCCCCTCCTTGAATCGGGGCTGGCCTTGGTGCCTTGCTCCTGGGTATAGAAGGGGCCATTGCACCCGTTCAGATACTAGGTCTAAAGAAGCTTTGCAGCTTCATTCTCATCCTCTTGGAACCTTTGCTGTCTGGATTCACCCTCTCTGAATCCAGCCGCTGTGTTGTGAGAAGCTCAAGCTGTTTGGAGTATCTACCTGTGGGTACTAGGTCCGGAGGCTCAGCTGAGCTCAGCTTTCAAGGCATCCAGCCCCCAGCCATTTTCTTTTTCCATCTGAGGTCCCAGGCATTACGGAGGAGAGACAAGACATCCCCTTGGGCTGGCCTTAATTCCTCGCCCCACGGAGCTCAAGAGCACGATAAACAGTTGTGGTTTTATGGCGCTAAGGTTGGGGAGATGTATCATGCAGCAGTAAATAGACAGCTGGCACGGCTCCCTTGCACTCACATCAATAAGCAACATTGCCATTGTTGGACAGATGACCGCTCTAGTAGTTCTGCCAGGACCCCATGGCACCCGGGTTCGACAGTTACCATCACGCGTGCTTTAGAACCAGGACCCTGGCTGGAGTCCGACTACTTGGGTTAGAGTCCTGGCTCGGTCACTTTATCGTTATGTGACCTTAGGCGGAAGATTGAACCTCTCTGCCTCAGTTTTGTCATCTGTCAAATGAGGATCATTATAGTGCCCCCCTCACAGGCTTGTTATGAGGGTGGAATGAGGATGGAATGAACCGATCCCTGTGAAGCACTTACAGTGGTGCCTGCAACAAGATAAGTGCCGTCTGAGTGTCTGCCAACTCAACGAACATTTCACATGGTTGTGACGCTCCTTGGCACTGGTCATTTGTTGTGCTCCCTTAATTCTCTTAGTACTTAGACCGGTAGCTTTCTGACCACTGACTGCAGGTATGGGAAAGTGCCCTTAAGAGAGCTGTGATAACCGCCTGTATCTGTTATGTTGAACCATAGGAAATTGCCACTTTTGTCTCCCAAAATGCGAAATATCAACAATTTCCTATGTTTCAACATAGTAAACATACTTAATAGATAAAGGCAGCAACAAACTACATAAAATATTAGGCTGTAATATCTTAAAGTAGAAGAAATTCATCTTCAGTTCAACTGAACACATGTTGATTGAGTACTGCGTGCTTGAGATACGGTGAATACTGACCTTACAAAGATGAATGAGAGATGAATAGGGGTGAATTACAAACTTGGCCATGATGTACTTCGTTTATTGCAGAGATAAACATATAAAAGATATGGAAACACCACAAAGGGAGCAGTTAGGTCTGCTTTCATGCTTTGGGAAGGCTTCACAGAGAAGGTGATATTTGTGCTACGCTTTAAAGTAAATTCTCAGTTGGTAGACAAGAAATACAAAGGGATTCTAGGTAGACAGCATAGTGTCTGTTAGTCAGGATGTTTTCAGTGGCAAATGATACCTAATTCACACGGACATTAGTTAAAAGAATGTATTGGTTCATGTAACTGTAACATATAGTGATAGTAATGACTTCAGGAGAAGCTGGATCTAGGTGCTCAAATAGTCTTATCAAATAATCTTATCTTGTCTATATCCTGCTTCTACTTTCTCTGATGGTTTGATTTCCAGTCAGGTTCTCTTCACATGAGAACAACCTTAGGCGAGCTTCTCTTTCTGAATAGTTCCTACAAGAGTCTCAAGACTGACCCTGACCAATCTGGCCTAGCTTTGGTCCCCCACCCTCCACTGCAAGCCAAGCCAGAGTGACATGCCCATCCCAGGAAATAATGTCAAGGAGAGTGTTTAACTATATGGAAAAGAGAGGTTTGGGTACCTAAAGGAGTGATGTTGGATAGGCAAAACTTTAGGCAAATTGGCTTCCCACTTACAATAGCATGTGAAAAGACAAATAGGACATGGTCAGATTGCTGACTGTTGCACCGCCCCACATGGTAGCCAGTACCCATAGGTGGCTATTAAAATTGAAGTTGAGATTAAATTAAAAATTCAGTTCCTGGGTTGCATTAGCCATAGATTTCCCAGCAATATTCTGTGAAACTGAATAACTTAGGAGAATTCATGAAAGTTTGCACAGGTACATTTGATTTTATTTTATCTTTATGCTTTTACTAATAAGTGAAAGAGCTATGCTTTATTGACTGCTTTCTTTGTGCAGGGAGTTTAGATATATCGTTTTATTTGGTCTTCACATGAGCAAGTAGCAAGAACCAGGACCCCACCACAATTCCTCAATTTCTAATGTGGCACAGAGAGTGGTGGTAAGAACAAGAGCCACGTTACAGCCGTGTATTCTTACTTGGTGCTCTTGCTAATTATAAGGTGTAAATAATGCCACTATGGAAGTGCCTATGCTATCCAGCTCATCCAGAATGTGGTACCCAGAGATGAAGTCCAAGTATCTTTTGCCTGGTTCAGCCCCATGAAGTAAACATTTGAGGTGGGCAGTAGTATCCTCATTGGCTAACTTAGGAAACTGAGCCAAGGTGACATTAAGCAACTTGCCCAAGGCCACAGAGCTGGTCGGTGGTAGAGCTGGGAGTCCAGTTCCCATCTGTGTCTCTACAGTTGTTCCACAGAAAATGGGAAATGCTTGAATTTTCTGAGCCAAAGAAAGAGAGGTGCCTCTGTACCCTTCTAGGTGGATACTCCTGTAAGGGCATTAAAATGCGTTGGGGAAATGGAGACACAGATTTCCCTCTAGGAAGGCAGGAACCATGGAGAGTCTCCTCAGTTGCCCAGTGCAGTGCTTGGATTTTAATAAATATTTATTGGAGAAAAATAGAAGAAAGAATGAGAAAGAGGAAAGGAAAGAAGATAAGCTACTATCTGTAGTTGAAGGGAGAATGTTGGCTAGTGGAGGGGAGGGACAAAAGGAATGATGTTCCACCCTAGATTAAAAGAATTTCAAGAGACATCTCACTAAATGCATTATGTGGGGCTAGTTAGGATCCTGCTTTGAGCAAACGAACTGTTAGGAAAAAAAAGTTTCGAGATAATTAGAAAAATTTTACTATGGACTAGATATTAAATGATATTAAGAAACTGTTGTTTTTGTTAATGTGTTGGTGGCAATATGATTACATGAGAAAATAAAGAAACCCGTAGTTATTAGAGATTAACTGGGAAGTAAGTATGTAGGGGTCAAAGACAAGATGTCTAGGATTCCCATAAAAATACACAAGCACAGAATGGGTTGATAACTGTGTAATGGACTATTATAATTTTCTCTACTTTGGTGTATGTTTCATCATAAAAAGTAGACATGTTTGAAAAATGTCCTTTAGTCCTCTTTCTTAGAGTTCAAGATGGAGTCTGAGCTCTCTTGCTTGGTCTATGCCTTCCTGCCCTTTGGTGACCCAGGCCCCCTTGGCTCCCCAGGTTCTGCTGCAGCTTTCAGACCCTCAAACTTACCAAATACATTCCTGCCTTGGGGCTAATCCCTGGAACCCTCTGGTCTCCATCTTCATATTGCAGCTCAAGTGCACCTCCTCAGGCTTCCTGTGACCACCACCGCTCAAGGACAGACCTTGCAGGCCAGTCTGTCCCTATTCCATCACCCCATTCTGTGGCCTTCAGAGCAGTTGTCTAAGATTGTCCTGTTCATGTT